TTTATTTATCAATTTCAATATATTGACTTGGTTATGTTGTAAATATATTTTTATATTTATTTTTAACAAAAACAAATCAAAAACATTATTTTATCATGATTATATCGTATTATTTTATTAGTTTACTAAAATGTTTATGATTTTATAAAACGTGTTCTCAATTCACATTAAAATTTTTAACAGTTTTACTATTATAAAATGTATACCTTTATAGCTAAGTGTAAATGCGTTTATTGGTTGATAACAATAATATAGACAAAATAAGACAATTGATTTATCAAAATATAGTTAGGGATGAATATGAATATTAATTTCAGATCGAAGATAGTCGGGAAAAACGTGTTTTAGTTTTGGGCCTGGAAGGTGCAGGAAAAACGACAATTTTGTCACAAATATCATCAGGTTCATTTATCAATAGCAAAGATTTAAAACCGACTGAAGGATTTAATGTAACAACCATGGAAATTAATGGGATTTCAATTAATATATGGGAGAGTAAGTAAAGGATTTATAAGTTAAATGAGAAAATAAAAATGTATTGATATTAAGGTTATTTATTCGATTGATTTATTACAAAAGTTATTCATATAAATTTATCATTTTAAATTATAATTAAATTTTTTATATTCGCTTAATAATAATGTAAATTAATGTAATTTGTTTCAGTTGGGGGTAGAGATAATGTAAGAACTTATTGGCCGACATTTTTACAAGACACAGATGTATTAGTTTTTGTCGTGGATGCATCGAATGATTCGAATATTTCACTTGCCATAAAAGAAATAAGATGGCTTTTAGCAGATGATAGATTGGCTAATGTACCAGTTTTGTTAATAGCTAACAAGCAAGATGTCCCAAATGCTCTTACTCCTGACCAAATCGCTGATGCATTAGACTTGGGAAGCGTTCTTCCGTCAAAACATAAAATCAAAGTATTGGGAGCTCAAACACCTTCTAAAGCTACTGACAGACATCAATCAATATTAGAAGTTGAGAAGACGTTATTGTTAATGTTGAATGCATAGCATAAGGTTAATTTAGGAATGCATCTCCTGCATTTCTATACCAGATCTCAGAATGGATATTAAATATAAGTGATTTTTAAGTGCAGCCCTTTATTATTTATAATTTTTAAAAAAATTTAATTTAGAAACCTGTGGAAAAAAATTTTTTTTTTTTTTTTTTTTTCTCTTGACTTTTAGGTATTTTAATAAAATTCTAAACTTTGTGTAAAAAACAAAAAAAACTTAACAGTAAAAAAAAAAAAAAAAAAAAAAA